TCGCCAATATTCCTGAGGATGAACCTCTCCGGGTATCCATTTTCAATAAGTGAAAGTTAGAAGGACGTACTTGCTGAAAATAAGCCCTTAGAATTCTCCGCACTAGATACTTTGACTGATATCTTAAAATTGCCCATCTGCTTTACATTGCAGAACATATTCAACCAAATGAGCGTGTATTATGTTCTTAGGACGCGACTTCTGGAAAGTAGATGCTGCCAGCAACTCCGCAATCGCCAGAAGTTTCCGTTCGGGAGCTGAAAAATGATCATAAGCTTAAGGATGGCGAGCCAAATGTGTGAATGTGCAGCTGATTACCTTCAGATTCACGAAATACATATCTACTTACGTCATAATTGTGTTTGCGTACTCGCACGAGGGCCCAGAGGAGGATGAACAATTATTTTTAGCTGCACTTTCTCAGTAGCATTTATTCAAAATGGAAAAAAAGAAGAAGAAGAAGAAGAAGAAGAAGAAGAAGACGAAGAAGAAGAAAAGGAAGATGAAGAAGAAGAAGAAGAAGAAGAAGAAGAAGAAGGGGAGTACAGTCCTCATGTGTGAAGAAATTGAGTTGTCTTGAAAAATTAACCGGCATGCTTTTACTTGTTTAAAGCTCCAGTCATCGCAGTCACGTCATAAGGTAGGTTATCTATTTTGTGCATCAAGCCTCCTTTTTATAAAGGTCGACGTTTGCTCCAGTAGCCGTCTGTGTAAAAATTTTCAGGAGGAATTATTTTACGTAGATAACGATTTTGTCGAACCTTTCTTTACGACGATTTGGATGAACATCAACTGCAATAAGCGTCCCACCTGATGACCGAGTAATTGTTTATGTCTTGAAAATGTTCGCAATAGAAGGCCTCTTTTGACACCGGTAGGACAAAGTAGATTTATAGAAATGTCCCACGTTTTAATAGGATTAGGGTGCTCGATTCACTACTTTTACTAGTAAGCTGCCTTTTCAGTGAAACCGTCAATCTTTCGCATGCTGTTTTAAACGAGTCTAGTATACATTAAAAAATTTCGAACATCGGCGTGACTGTACCCCTTAATACAGACGGAGCGTACTATGACTCGCAGCCTCAAAACTCGGCGGCATTTTTCGCGTGACCCTGTGACTACGTTTTTTTTACTTTCCCTAAAAAACATCTCAGCAACGATAGAATTCGGTAGTTAAAGGCGCAGTTGACTATTTGCAGTCGCCTCTGGAGCGGAGAAATGGTTGTTTTGCAAAACACATGCATCCTGCTGCGCAGAACAGCCTCCCCACCGCAGCGGCAAAAGCGACCAGCCAGACATCAGACTCTTGTCTCCTTCCTTCCTTCCTTGGGAAGGCGGCAACAGCCACCCAGACTATAGGCAGGACATAAACTGTCCGATTCTCACATGCCAAATTCCACAGCCTCGTGACGGCTATTCAATTAGTCCTAGTCTGTCTGCAAACTTTCTGTTCACACGCCGGCTTGCGGGCACTCTGATTGACTCACGGCACAAGATGTCACGTCTGGCTTGGCATCACATAGGAAGGGGTGTGTGTGCCGTCGAGGTATACGGGGATGGCTTGTTACGGATTCCATAAGTCGGTGGGCGGGAGACTGATTTGTGCAGTTAGGAGCGACTTCACGCGACGTAACCCCACCACCCCTGCCACCAGTTACGACTGTGTGGAGGGCGGCGACGACATCTAGCTGGCTGAGGCCGAACGTTCACGAAAAACTTACTTGAGGGATTAATTTACTTCCTTTAGTAACCCCACTACCGCTGACAGCCCCCCGCCCCCCACCAGTCCCCTTTCTGCGTGTCCAGTGGCCAACTGACACAGGACCGCCCATATGCTCGCAAACAGAAGGGCGAGTTTTTAGGAGTGGTAGTGCTTCCTTTGCTTACATGACACACCCCTTTTCTGCGCTCTTTAACTTGTCCTATCGGAGGCATTAACTGTCAGCTTTAAGGGCACAAGGGTGATAGGCTAGTGAAGTTGGGAGTGCGTAGTAATTGTGTTTATTAAGATAAGTGCCCGAAGGCGGTTCGAGGAGTGTATGTGTGTGCCATGGGCTTTGTTGGATCAAGAGTTCCCGCAGAAGTCCAAATTGGTTGTAGTTGGAAGATGAAAAAAGCCGAGAGTTCAGCCGGCTTGAACCAAAGGTCCACCGGGGGCGAAGTTGGGTGCCTGGCCGGGAACTGCAGACGAAAAGATGCTGACAGTCATGTGGAGGGACGCCGCAATTGGGACATCTGTCGGATGTGGACGGGGCCAGCCGGTGTTGGTACTGGTAGAGGGGCATTGAGTAGCTACTGCGTACTCGAGCCAAGGTACAGCCTCGAGAATTGTTGATCCGAGGCCGCAATTGGAGGTGGATAGCCGCCCAAAAGGGCCGTGGGATGCTACTCTAGTCGGGGTCAAGTTGTTTGATGCATAACGAGCGCCTGCGCACCTGGGAAGATGACGTTTTGGCACCGAAATCAATATATCCGATGTCTGAAGAATATCCATATTCCGCTATGTTTTACTGACAAGCCGAAAAATGTCCCTCACAATCAACAATGTGAGAGATAAGTAAGTTGTGTTGGTAACTGCAGACATGCCTCTACTTACGAAGTTTCAGACGTACGAACGAAGAGTATTATTAATAATTTTTGGGGAGGTATTATTATGCTTTCATATGTATAATTTACGGGCGGACATTTTCAGTTGCAAACGGCCGTGGGGATCTTAATTTGTTCGTAAACAAAGGGGGACCAGGCACTTAAAAAGTGTTTTTTTTATCTTTTTAATACAGCCTAAATGCATAATTGAATAGGACATACTTGGTAAGTCCAAGCTGTTTGCTATCGGGTGATTAAATACGGCAGCAGGGTGCTCACGGATTACGTAAGCTTACAGATTCGCCCGATCTAGAGCTCCGCAGATAGCCGGAGAACTGCAAAATGCAAGCGTCAAGACAACGACCTCGTGGCTCAATAGTTTGGGTATTTGACTTCTAATCAACAGGTCATGGGTTTGAGCCTCGGTGGTGGAACAATTTAGGCTGTACATGTCTGGTTAACGACAGCTAATAAGCAGAAATGGTCATCCAACCGTCCAGTGTCTTTTTCATCCTTTGTATAATACAAGCCGCTTTCCGGCTGACAGGGGGAAGCTTCAATGCACCGCAGGACGAATATGCCCCGTAAAATGATTGGTAAATGCTCTTCTACCATATAAAATATATTTGCTGTCGTACGATGAAATCTTAACTGTCAACGGAACTCTTTATTTGTCTTATAATTCTTCATCTTTGCTAGAAAAGATGTTCCACGATAGTAGCAAATAAAATCTTTAAATTATGCGCTTTTGTGTGTTCTTTCAGCATTATAACAAAGTACAATATTTAAGTGGGTTTCTTCAGACCTCTCAGTAACAAGCGTTTGTATTTTAGATATTCGGTGGGGTATAAAGAGATATTCATTTGTAATTCATCTCCCCTGAATCCAGCCGCCTTTCGTAATACTGTGTCCCCGCTAGATTGGCCTCGTTCTGCTTACTTTAATTTCTTCAACTGTAATAATTAAATGTGTGCTTGTTCGTGTGTCATGAAGAACTATACTTGTAACTTTAACTTTATCCTTTTATCAACCAAATGTTCAATCAGTTAGTGGAGAGAGACTCCAAGTACCAGGTTTCGGCACCATCTTCGGCAAATGGAATGCTGTTCGAAGGGTCAACTTAGGAAATTTTGTTTTCTTTACCATCAATCTCTTACATTGCTGTCTCGTTTACGGGCTTACCTCCTATTTTATGACTGAGTTGCACCAGCATCACGACTACTAAGGGACTGGGACTTCTGATAAGCCAAGCAGGTCTTTAATATGAATCTACAAAATTACAAGGCCTAAAGTGGTCGTAATAAGCCAAACTTCGAGCGACAGAAAATTTTTAAAAGTAACACTAAGCAGCCCGGTTAGTAAGAAAATGAAATCGTCACTTTTAATTCAACTTAAATCCGATTTTTTTAACGCAAGTTTGATAAAGGTAGATCATTGGAGTAGAAACCACGGCATGTGCACGCATGACCAAAAAATTTGGCGGGTCTCCCAACCAGCTGACTTATTCTAATTCGATAGGCTTTTGGGTAGTGTGGAACATACTACGTCAAGATAAACTTCATTAACGGTATCAGAAGCATCAAATGGATTATGGTGTGGATAATCGGGTATACTCCACAAGCATTCACCTTGGTGAAGTTCGAACGTGCCAGAAGAAATGTATGTAACCATTGGGTAGGCAGGTAGGTAGATAGTAGGTAAGGGTTCATATATATGGCCCCTCTGACAAGAAAGGAGAATTGGAGAGGCCCGTAAAACGCGAGGCTTTACGCTACGCTCCAAGGAACTCCGAGGTACGGTAAAGTTTAGGCCTAGGAGAAACCCTAACATTACGGTTTTGTCGTTGCAAGAACGCGTGAGGTCACAGGCAGCTAATTGCCTCTTTGGTCATCACTGCAAACGGATTATCGCTTACTGCCGCTGCTGAGCGGCTGACGTCAATCGATAAGTGATATTTCATCGATCGGTTTCGAAAAAAGACTTCCTATCTGATCGTTTGCCACTTTCGCAACAAACGCTGGGTGCACAGGGCACGCGAATCTTTACGGTTCTTGAGGTGTAGCGTATTGTCACCTATATTATACTGGAAGAGTTTCGTACTCTCCTGACCGGCCTGGGGGAGGGGGACGTAGACGACTCCGGCCAGTGGCAGTTCCTAAGTTGGCATCTACTCGAACAGCTACTGTTTCAAAGAGCTAACGGTAGTGATGGTAGCTTAAATTTGCTTATGATGAAGCAGACTTTCGCAGCATTTTCATCGACTGCCCATCTTGGTTCGTTGACACGATAGGATTAAGACAACTGGCTATGGGGGCTATTTCTGCACCCTACACACCTGCTAGTTCTTCAGTTCATAAAAAGCCGTCAGCAATGGGGTTCCCACATGTCACATAAGTGAGGCTGTAAACAAGGCCATAGTTTGAAGGATTTAGTGCGGTCTGACCGTCGATCACAAGTGAGAAAGTGTAAGCCGTAGTTTAAAAATCTACCGACCCACGACTGCTTGTTTGTTTTGTTAAATTCAGAGCGCCTTTACTTGTCTACAGTAAAAACGGTTTCAAGACAGAGTAGAGAGGACTGGAGTTGTGAAGGCGCAAGTAATTCTTGCGGTGTGAGCCTGCGGTTGTGAGCGCAACCACCGTATGCTCCAAAAGAAGATGACGCAGGAGCGGTGGCTTAGATGTGAATTAATTTTAAGTGCTAGTAGACTTGCACCGCATCTACGGCACTCACTCCTCTCTCTCATCCACCTGTGCTCTGTGGCAAGACAGACTCAAGAAGACCGGAGTCGGGATCGGGTGCAGGTGGCTGGCGGGGCCGAAACTACACACATTGGACATCGTCGAAATCGACGGTCGAATTGTCGGGTGCAACCACACCTCCTATGTGTGCTATGTGCTGCGGGTGCGCATGTCCAGTAAGATACGTCCACCTTTCCTCTGACACCTGCTACGATCCAACGCACTTACCAGGTGGTCCGTTCTACTTCATGAA